TCACTCAACCATCACTACGGCAGACAAACTTCAAGTCGGAATATGTGTGTCGGGTAAAACTTAAATGCCTCATCGGAGATGTAGTCAGTGAAATTGGCGATCATCTCCCGCTCGGACCATGATGCAGCGGTAGCGTGGAGCTCGAACAGGTCAAACCAGTCCTGTACAGGTCCATCGTCTGCTGCTCCGGTGTACTTGGGGATGGGAAGGTCAGTCGATGGTTTTCTTATGATGCCGGTAACTGCATGCGCCTGAGATCACCTCTTCTGTGGTCGATATTCAGGTGAGGCGTATTGCCGTTCGCTTCGTGAATGATTTGAGGCTGATGAGTGCCGGCCAAGTCTTCATCCTGTCGACTCGTGTGACGCTATGATGAATGGAAGACTTGGGCCGGCTCATACGCCATGTTTATTCCATTCTGCACTTCTTCCTTCTCTGCTTCTACGAACCATCGCTTCATATGTCACACACACACACACACACACACACACACACAATTGCGCTATTGCGTCACAAAAAATTAATAACCTGAGTCAGGATTTTGATAGTGAAAGGCACTTCATAAACGAATTGAACTAAACGTATACTATTCTCACGAACCTGTAGATACTCAGATGAATTTTGTTTCCCACAAAGCTAATTACTTAATTATATTTAATTACCAATTTTTCAAAATTATTCGTTAAAAAACGAGAATATACCCATTGAGCTGTAGAGCACTGTCAGAAACCACCGGCTCAATTGTTTTCTGTACGATATACGTGTCCCGCTGTTATTAATATTGGTTTTTTTTGGCGTTGTAAAGAAGACACGATAAAGCTGAAAATCCGCGTGACGGATGGCGAGCATGCTTTTGGTGGCTTTTTCACAACATGGAAAAAATAACAGCGTAACACATATCATGCAGGAAACGATGGAGTCGGTGGTTTCTGAAAGGGTCCTACAGCTCAGACATCATATTTTAGGGTTTCAGTAAATAATTAATTTTTGGTAATTAATTAATTAGCTTAGAGGAAAATAAAAAATAGTCCAAGTATCTACAGGCTAGTGCGAATAGTATACATTCGATTCAGTTCGCCTCTGAAATGCCTTTAATTTTCAAAATCTTGGCTCAAGTTGCAGCACAGACTATATATATGAAGTGTTACTATGAATCCATTTTTGGTGCCATCGAATAACGTTATATTTTTCGTGTACAAAGAGCAATGCACATATCTCTCGTATCTTCGAATTTTCTTTGAAAGGTATTTTCTCAGAATAGCCGTTCCATCTCTGTGACTAAGTTGTCTATATGGTGACGAAGCAGATCACAGGATTTCAGAGATAAAACAATGGAAGCCACACCCGGAACGCACGTTATCTATTCTAGAAAAACTGCTTTTTACGGCATATTCAGTTGTTAATTGTGGTGAGATGATTCCGTCTACAATTAATAAATCTAGTAAATTGTAAATACGATTGTGGTATTTTGTGTCAAAGGAAGGATGCATTCCAACATAAAACATAACTGTTTAACATAAAACAAAACTGTAGCAAGTGGCCGTGTCACGCTGGGCTAGATAGTGACGAGACGGAGGCTGCGCAAGATTGTGCGCAGTGGTTGCCACATCATCCCCCGCGGAGTGCAGAGGTCGCAGGGTCTGTAGAAATCAGGGAGGCGTACCAGTTTTCCAGAGCGTGTCGAAGAAAAGAGCAGGCTGTGACGTCAGCGGCTGCAGAAGGAAGGAATGGCACTGCCCAGTTTGTTCGCAGCAAAGTATGCGTGCTTGAGCCGGTCAATCGAGACTGTTCATGTGCAGAGGGAAGTTCTTGTCGTCGCGATGGACGACTGCCTTGAAAACGAGCTGGTTTGGTCGTGCGCTGCACGTGTTTTGTACGTGTTTTTGCAGGTGTCATGGCACACGAGGCGTGCTAAGAAGATCCACCTAATTGAGGGCTCCTTTCTTTTCTGCATTTTGGTGAAGAAGCAGCGCATACTCAGCCTTGTGGGAGATGGGGAATAGGTGATAGCAGACGGGGAGTGGCATTCAAAACGCCGAAGAACAAGAGGCCGAATTATTACAAGGCCGAATGTCAGAATGACGAAAAATTGGAATGTCAAAAAATATAAATGCAGAAAACTTAAAATGCTGAAAAATCGAAATGCCAAAACATCAACACACCGAAAATACCAGCACCTTGCTATAGTAGAAGATAGTGTTTAGCCGTGATTGAGCATCCCCTGGCTTGTGTGCTTTTGCTCTCGCTTTCATCCTCTTTTCTAATGGCCATGAACTCCCTTCGCATATGGGTCAAGCCTTCGAAAACAAGAAAAATATATTCCCTTGTTTATTCAATTTCATACAGATAAATTTAGTGCAATGCCTCGCAGAAAACTTAGAGCATCCACAATCTTCCGATTGGGCAGCGCAGCTACCAAACGATCTTGGACAACTGATGTTTCATCACTTCTGCGAAGATTAATCGCCAAAGAGATATTATTGGAAAAGTGGATGACGGAACCTTTATGTTGCCCATATACTTTATCTTCCACCATAGCTAGGCGATGGGGTCTTCATGTTTCGGCATTTTAACGTTTCGGGGTTGCGATTTTTCAGTATTTAAATTTTCGGCACCTAAATTTTTCGGCGTTCTTACGTTCGCCTTCTAATGATTCGGCGTCTTGATTTTCGGCGTTTTGATAGGGACGCTAGCAGACGACATCATCCTGTTCTTGCCCCGCCGTGGTGGTTGGCTGCTGGCCTGCAGGTCGCGGCTGCTCACCACTACGGCGGGGCAAGGTACTCGGCTGCTGACCCGCAAGTCGCGGGATCAAATCTCTGCTGCGGCAGCTGCATTTCCAATGAAGGTGGAAATGTTGTAGGCCCGTGTGCTCAGATTTCGGTGCACGTTAAAGAACCCCAGGTGGTCGAAATTTCCTGAGCCCTCCACAATGGCGTCTCTCATAATCATATGGTGGTTTTGGGACGTTAAACCCCACATATCAATCAATCAATCAATCGTCCTGTTCTTGATGAAGTACTTTTGCATAACGAAATGTTTGTGGTGGAACTGAGAACGAGGAAGAAAAACGAAAGAAAGCAGGGCAGGGAATTAGACTGGCTACATTTATCCTAAGAGACAGGTTTGAGCTGTTTCCCATAAAGTATGTTTGCTATAAATCCTTGTCGCCTCTGCTGGCTGCCGTGCATTTCCATCGGCACTGCCCAAATAGACAAAATATATCACCGTACAACAGAAACTCGACACCTGTGCACACGCTTTTCGATAGCGCATTCTCAATGATACAAAATAATGGCAGTAGTCTAAATATGGGATGGTACATACTTAGTCAACTAACATATATCAGATTTCTTTCGTTTATACAGCATAATGAAAACCAACGGATAAAAGCCATGGAAGATACAGAGGATGTAAATTTTACTGTTTTAACTGCATTGTAGTAATTGTGATATATATTGAAAAAAAGTATAATGTACGAAAACACAATTAAAAAGCTTTCCTTTCGTAGAAGACAGGCAGACGAATTTTAAAATAAGTTTATTAATTTATTCTATCATCCAGTTTACTGTTTTCACATTTGGATCGCAATGACTGCGATACAGGGAAAGCTGTACAATTCAAGCCCATTCCACATTCCTTGGCTTCACCTGTTCGTTTTTATTGAAGTAACATTTTAAGTAGGCATATATTATATATGGAAGCACGAAAACTTTAGTGTCTATTAATATGACCAATTGTGTCACTTAGCATCACCATCTGGAATTCTATCAACAAATTGAATTATGTAAGTTGGCTCTGCGCCACACTGTATATAGTTTATTTTTAGTTAAAAAAGAGGGGAAGTTGAATGCACTGTAGTAATTTCTCGGGCGTGTATCACCCAGTAACTCGATTGATCAGCACAGTTGTAAACAGGAATGAACTATGGTTATGTTCAGTGCCTCGTACAGATACTCATTTTTGCTGCACACTGACCTTTGACCACGCACTGCTAGCTCAGCGTACATCAGATATCCGCCCAGTCATCTGGCATTTATTCGAGTGTAAACAGAATTTTACTGGTGGAATCAATCGCTTCGTGTTTACAATACTGCTCTAGCATTTCAACAAGTCCCCTGTCGGGGTGAATTCACAGAACGAAGAGTGTTCCGAGCAGTGACCTTGTCCACCATGCATTCGTCATACCAGAACTGAAGGCGCTGATCCTTGTCCCCATAGCCTGAGGAAGCAAATAGCACCTTCTTTCATCTTCTTGAAAAGGCTGCTGAAAATGTGGGACAACCTCTCAGGCAGCAGACAGCTGTCAAGGCACATAATTGGCTTTGTTGAAGCTACAGGTGTGGTGTGACAAAAGCGAGAAATCAAAGGATCGCCAGGCTGTAAATAGTTTTGACCCCGCGGCATCATTCGCTACGGTTCAGGCAGAAAAATTTGGAATGTTCTCAGACAAAGTGGTCACCGCGTTATCAAGTAGTGCCTGCCGGGCAAGTTTTCAGCAACGGTACTTTCACATGCGGAGTGACATTTCATTGTCCTGGTTAGATTTAGACACCTAGAGCGTGCTCAAACTTCCCACTTTCTTATAGTGTGTAAGTGCTGTCATCTATCAACACAAAAAAATCAAATCTGACTTTTGCTGGTGACTCCCCTTAACGCACAAAAAAAAAACTTCCTTTTGTTGAAAAGTGGACTCCAAAGGTTACGAATCATTGTGCATAATAATTTGCTCCCACCATCTCATTCTGGCTCCAAATTAAAAACATGGGCATGTCTATAAAGCCTGCTATCAGCAGTTTATTTTTTATAAATATGAATAAACATTGAATTATGTTTTACTTGTTCACTGCCACTAATGGAGTTCGCTTCTGGGAGAGAACAGTATTGTATAGCTTGCTTTGATTTTAATTCACTTCTTAATATCAATGTTTAACAACAATGTAACTGTGCCATACATACTATATGTTACTGTTTATATTAACTGAATGAACTTGTTACAGGTTTACGGATCAAGGAAACCAAGGAAGTGTACGAAGGTGAAGTAACAGAACTGACACCGTGCGAGACTGAGAATCCTATGGGCGGTAGGTTATTTTCAGCACCTGATCCTTATTGGTGCTTAGAAATTATCGATAGTGGTTCTGAATAGGTGTGCGATTGGCCGGGACAAGTCATTTGTTCTGAGCAAAAAGTCCTGACATACACAGAGACAACTAGTCCATCAACAAGCAGTTAAATTATAGATGAACGTCAACGCCACTTCTGGGCACGCACTTAATGAAAAAAAGATAAGGAAACATCATTTTCGATATTCTGTATACTCAAATAGACAATGACACCCAATGTTTGATCGTAATGGGGGCTGTGTTGGTTGATCCTTGCGCGTTCACAATCAAGCTGGCTAAATTTCAATGAATTAGCTCGAGCACTTAATCAAGAACTGCATATATTTGTGTAAGCAAGCAAGGGTCGGCCAACACTGGCCCTCTTAGAAACCGCGACATAGTGCAAGTCTGCTTGCTGTGCAGGCATGCGAATTCTGGTGAACGATTTTGCTACATGGTTTGTTGCTTGTTCATTTGAGCTATTTCAGCTTTGTTCAACTTTCCGTTGGAAATACAGTTTTTAGCAGCTGAAACGATTCCACCGCAGCGCAGCAGTAATGCGTTGACTTAGCTCATTTGGTAGAAGACAATGACTCTGCTCCATGGAGTGAATGGTGTCACGCATGCCATGGCAAAACAGCTATTGCCTGCGATGGGTGGGGTTTAGAGCCGGTGACTTATAGGGCTTATTTTGCACTGAAATATTCTTTTTCAATCCATTTATATACATGCATGGCCATAATAGACCTTCTATTTCTATTTTTCGCTGAAAGCCGCAAGTTATTATTTGATCGTGTCGTGTAACTTTTAAAGAAAAATTTCCCACGTATCTGAATTGCTTCGTTACGTTCCTGAGTTGTTTTCCGTCTCCTCTTCAGGTTATGGCAAGACTGTCAGTCACGTCATAATTGGCCTCAAGACTGCCAAGGGCACCAAGCAGCTGAAGTTGGACCCTACAATTTACGAGAGTCTGCAGCGCGAGAAGGTTGAGGTCGGCGATGTCATCTACATTGAGGCTAACAGCGGGGCTGTCAAGGTGAGGTTCAATGCCTAACGGGATGTCCAGTTTTCTTGTTGGTCTATTTGTTGAGTTCTTGTTTCTCTAGGATCTCTGTGACTTTTTTTTGGTATAGCAGCAGCGTGAGAATATCCTCCCAGGTGGTACCATGGTTATGACGTCCAGCCATAATCCCAGCCGGAGTGGTCCTATTCCAGTGTAGGCGAAACACGAGGCCCATGTACTGTGTGAAGTCGGTGCACATTAAAGAACGCCAGATGGTCCCAGATTTCCGGAACCCTTCACTACGGTGCTCCTCATAGTCATATTGTAGTTTTGGCATGCAAAACACAAGATATTATTACAAAATCAGCATGACAAAAGCTCTATTCAAAAACATAAGTAGTAACTGCGAACCCCAGTCGAAGGTGCAGTGGACTGGTGCTAAGAAGACGCAGTAACGCTTTATTGGTGCAGATGCTGTTTGCCCTTCAGCCTGTTACCACCATACGTGTGGAAAATTCAAATTTTTGAACTGGTTTCTCTCTAAGTGTCAGCAGCCGATGATATTGCTGCTCTATTCTAGCACTGCAGAGCGAATGATTAGAGTGCCTCATTGTCAAAAACCAACAAATCTTGAAATTCATGAGCCTTGGCACCTATCACCAAGAGTCATTAAATTGGCTTTGTGCCTCTCCCGCTTGCCAATCTTCCAATCTCGGTATAAATTTATTTCACTTCAAAAATTTATACTTTCATAAAGTTTATTTGGCATAGATTTATTAACAGTATCCTCAAGTTTATTAAAGTCCCATGCTTTTCATTTTCAATGCTAGCACCATGGGCACCCTACCCTAATTTATAGGTTCAAACTAAGAGGGCTGCTTTGCATTCTGCATCTTTGCAGCTGCAATAATTTCTTATTAAATGCTTACACATTAGTCTGGTAACCATACTTGATACGCTTTACAAGTTAATTTCTTAAACTTAAGTTTCGGGTCACCGTGTACAGTGCAGGACTAGATTTCATAGCATTCCCCCCTCTGAAACGTTTAACTTTTCATCAGGGTTTGTTATTGTAGATGATCTGATTAACAGACAATATTACACTAGGAACTGCAGTGTCACTATTAAATGAGACATTATTATAATTGAAATTAAGCTCATTAGTGATTTTATTAGTGTAATTCATATTGGAAAGAATGAATAGTTATTGGGTTTTTAACATTTTCCGCTGCGGGATAGTTCGTGTAGTTTTTGTCAAATTAAGTCCATTGGTGAAAGGGTTTTATTTATTTTTTCCCAGCATGTGAAAGACACCTGATCCTTGTGATTGCATCTTTGCCCATATTCTGTGTGCACCATAGATGAGAGCCAGGGCTCACGCTTGCTGTAGTGTTCCCGTCTTGAAGAAGGAGTTTCGTGTTCCAGCTTCTGGATGCCACACTGAAGTCTACACATAGCCAATTACCAACCGGCCGGCATCGTATCGTTAAAATATATTTGCACGTCAGGGTGCCTCTAGAGTGTTCAAGAGGGAGCGACCACAACAGAAAAAGCCGCAGTGGCTCTAAGAAAGACTTTTCGCAAAGATAATCAATATTGTTAGATGAAGCAGGCCACGCAAAGCACCCAGTTTTTGCCACGTAGCCGACGAGCCAGTGTAGGAGACGAGTTCTCACATTTTGCAGCTGTAATCAATTTCTAGCAGCAGTTTTCGTAAACAGGACAGAAAACCGACAAAAATCTTGTGCTTTTCTCGGTATTTAACCACGACATGGCTTGTCGGAACCATTTTTTGCTTTGCACTGCTTCTAACAAAGTGCGCACCAGCAAACACATGCCGACAACTGTGGTTGGCGTGACTGTCAGTGCCTAACACAAAATTAAGTGTCCGACAACAGTACCATCACACTTTAATTATGTTGGAGCACTGTGATAGGTTTATAGGCTTAGTGTGAAGATGTGAGAGCACACATTCGCAGTCAGAAGTGATCATAACTTTAATTAGACCATCAACACTTTTTTATTTACCCCATTAAAGGGATGTTTCAGCTTGTCCTAGCAGTGTTTGCCGGGCTAAGCTTTTAACTCTATGCTCACCAATTCCTACGCTTCTGCTTTCCACTTTCAGAGACAAGGAAGATCTGATGCTTATGCTACAGAGTTTGATCTTGAGGTGAGTTGGACAAATTCATTTTATGCTTAGTTTTACCGTAGTGCCACCACAAAGCATCATTACTGCATCTTTCTTACTTGTGAAATTATGGTGATCATTGCAACACTGTCTTACCCATATAATGTATGTCAATGATGTCATGCCTAACGACTCGAGAGACAGTTTTCATGTAAAGTATGTAATGTTAGACTAGACAGATGTCCATTCACTGTACAGTGGCACAAAAACTATAATTAGATATCTACTTGATGGCATTTACTTAGTGAACAGCTGTCCGGCTGCTTGCTGGTTGGATGGTTTGTGTATGTTTTCAACATGCCTCTAAGTACTCGCATTTATTGTCACCGCAGCTTTGTTTAATTATGGGAATGTTAGTTCCAGCCTTGCATTCAAATATTGTAGTGTTTTTTTTTTGTGTGTGTGTATGTTGCAAATATTAATAGACATTTGGTATCGAAATAGTTACAGTGAAGGAAGAACATAGACAGTTGAAGCACTGTTGCCTTTCATGTCCTCTATTCTGTCTTTTTTTTTTTTTTTTTTGCTGTAACTGTTTCAACGTAAACAATCAGCTCGCCCAAAGAATTGCTCTCCAAATCTATTTTATTTGTGACATTGCAGGCTGCTGGATGTGATTATGAACATTACATTTACCTTACTGGATAAATTGTCTGTAGGGCACAGGCTGCATAAAATTTTTCTACTGGCAGGAAAAACATGAGCACACAGTGAATGGCGGTAGTCTTGTGACACCTAGTCCTCTGCGTGCACCTGTAGTGAATAGCCTGACAGCAGCCAATTCGACAGTTAGTCCGCTTTCTGCTGAAGATTAAAAACTGTGTGATCCACAAAAAGCTACAGCATGGTCGCACTTCAGCATAAATGTGGCTCGGCATTTTGCTTTATATATTTCACAGCCCGTAGATACCAAGCTTAGGCAGAGGAATGAGACCAAATGTGTGCATTTGTTGTTTATAGTGCTGCCATTTCTCTAGTGAAATCTTTCAAGGATTCCGCTTGCAGTCGCTGCCTTTGGGATCCTTGTCTGCATGTTTTTTTGTATCGATCGTTGTAAGTTGAACTGTAATGATCGAAAACTGAAACCTAGAACACGACTACAATTATCATTAGCAGCATGTGATGATCATTCTTGGTTCTTCTTTCAAACTAGGTATGTGTGTCTGATGTTATTATTAGCAGAAACAATGTACTCGTGGCCCTTAAAAAAGTGAGCCTGCAGAAATGCATCTCCCGCATAATCATTGTGATGCCAATATCGGCCCTGAACTTCTTAGTGAGGTGTTGGTTCTTTGGTGTGGGTGTGGTATTTCACTCGTGAAAATTGATGCTTTCGTGACAGTGTATCTAGTTGCTCATAGTTATCATGACACCTCTTCAAATCAGCAGCCATGACTTAGGCTGCCTAGCCATGCGTATTGCGGCCACCAGTGTGTTGATACCATCTGTACTCTATTACTACTTAGGCAAAAGATGTTAGCTCTGCACACAGCCATCGCTGTGCTTCCCACGGGAGAATTTACACAGGTATCACTTAGTCGTTTTTGTGACGTGGAGCACTCGGATGTTACAGATAGCCGACTTTTCCATGAAGAGACAGGATTGTGTTGAATGCTTTAGATTAGAAACTTGAATGTCCTGTTAAACATCTACAGCGATTTTGACATCACTTCTCACCCAAACATAATGTTTTAGATTGTAACGCAGAACCTGTAACGAAAAACACGGCGCAGAGCGCTTTTCCTGTGTCCCCCTCGTTTCTTGCGCCGTGTTTTTTACTGTGGTTTGCTAACGGGCCCAAATTCACGCTATTGTAAAAAATGTTTGACTATTAATGTGCATGCTGCGGCTTTCTGTGGGTAAAGTTGCCATTTTTTTCTTAGTTTGTATCTGAGCAATGTTGCCTTATGTTCACGTACAGTTCTTGCATTCCACAGGGCTACACAAAAGCGTCTGTTGTGAATGAGAGCTTTGTTGTAAGCTTTGTAATCCCTACCAGAGAAATAAAGTAACAAGAGAAAGCAGAGCACCATTGTTGCCACTGCTGTCAGCAGGCGTAATTCTGATGGGCCAGAAGCGGCAGTTTTTATTGCGAACCCCACTTTATGAACAGCCATCGCAACCATATTTTCGGTGTAACCATTGCAGGCAGAAGAGTACGTGCCACTACCCAAGGGAGACGTTCACAAGAAGAAGGACGTCATACAGGATGTGACGTTGCACGACCTGGATGTTGCCAACGCCAGGCCCCAGGGTGGCCAGGATATCTTGTCCATGATGGGCCAACTGATCAAGCCTCGCAAGACAGAAATCACTGGTGCGCGAGTTTGAACATATCGCTGCTTTTCGTGTGCGTGTTTTCGAGGCCCGCACATTGATTTTTTCGACACTTGAGATATGAGAGTGTAACTCGCATTGCGGCCATCACGAATCACCATCTCGCCAAACTGGCCGTCCTGTCATTTGGTTGATTTGCTTACAATGTAGTAGCAGTGACATTGCACGACACGGTTCGGCATTGTTTAATGCTGCTAACTTTCATACCACATTTCGCTGAAATGCATCCTAAGGCGGAAATGGGTTTTTCAACTCGAGCCTACTCTGTGTAAAACAAGCTTCAATGTTTTCATAAGCCGAAAATTCGCAGCAGAGCAAGAACACTCAAACTTCAAGCAAATGCTAGCTGACACAGCTCTCTTGTATACATGAATTTTATGTGCACCATAGTCTTGTGGGCAGAGCTTGTATCGAATTCTTAGGGTAATGATCAAGTACAGTTATCTGATGTCTCGTAAAAGTTAGTAGATATTCCCGAACCGATAAAGAATGAGCTAAATGTATAAGGTTCCAGAAGATTAGTTTAGCATTAGCAAACTGTGATGTGAGCACGACGAACACTGTTTTTTCAATTGCCACGGGCCATTTCTTGCCTGCAGATAAGCTGCGCAAGGAGATCAACAAGGTGGTGAACAAGTACATCGATCAGGGCATCGCTGAGTTGGTGCCTGGAGTGCTCTTTGTGGACGAGGTCCACATGTTGGACATTGAGTGCTTCACCTACCTCCACCGGGCCCTCGAGTCCTCCATAGCACCCATTGTCATCTTTGCAACCAACCGTGGCCGTTGCACTATTCGGTAAGCCGGGTGCTTTTTTTTTGTTACAAGCAAGATTGCTGTAGTTGTCTTTTTTTTCTCTCTTTTAAACAGTCTGGTTCTAAATCTGCTGTTAAATTTTAAGTGCAGTTTTGTTATTACAGCTATGCAATGAGAAAAAAATTGAGAGCATAGCAAGAACGCTCAAACTTGAAGCAGACACCAGCTGACACAACTCTCTTGTGTACAGGAGGAATATAACAGAAAAAGTCACTGCGTGCACTGGCCTGTAGAATTCTTTCAGTTTAGTGCTTGTTTTTTGACCTGGTGCGTCACTATTACGGTAAGAAAAAGCAGATAGCAGCTGTAGTGCTGTTGTTATCTATGTTGTACGCAGAATTGATTTAATGCAAATTGTTTATGCTTGACGTGTAGTGTTCTGTTGTATGCTATGGCTTGAAGAAGGGCACACTAGAAACTACAGTCGAACCCTCGTGTAGCAGCTCCACTTAAAATTAACTTTCACTTAAAATGAAATATTACTGTGTCACCATAGAAATATACATTAGGTATTTCATGAATGGCACAAAATCGCTCTGACAACGAACCTCTCTGAGCACCACCAGTCAGTTGGCGAATGGAGCACCACCACAATGCGATTCTTTGACCTTTGCGCGGGCAGGCCACTCTGCCAGGTTTTCCTACACCTGAGTTGCGTGTTTTGTAGACCTTTCAAGCATGCTACCCTGCCTGCATTTTTCCCACGTGTTTTGGTCTTCAAGGTCGCCTCCCCGCTGCCCTACACTTCTCTCTCTTCACTCTATCACAAGTCCTTCGCCTGCCTCTTGCAGGTCTGCTCTTCTTCACAGTCCCTACCACTCCGCGGCGCCAGCCACGCTGGCTCGAATTCAGAAGTTTGTTTTTCTGGCTAGAAACTGGCTCAAAGGATTTCCACACATCCTGGCATGTATTTTGCGCATGCGCGTTTTACTCGCTGTTGGTGCAAGCGTGGGATCAGGATGGCAGACGGGAGGCCTTTTACGCCTTTTCCTGCCGCTAAAACAACGTCGAATGTGCAACCGCACGGCTTATTATAGGCGCCATGTTGTGTAGCGCTTGCTCATAACTCTACACCGCCCAGTAGCCAACTTGCCGCTTTGGGTGTCACTGTATTCAGCTGTGGAGCTGGTGAAGACTTCTTGGGTGGAGGTAATGGCTACATGTGTGCACAACTGTTCTCGCCAGGGTGACTTGTCGACGTCGGACCCCATGCCGAGCCTGAAGCTTCTGAACAGGACCACTCTGGCAACAATTCGTGGCAGCGCGTCGTACACTCTGACATGAGAGGGCTGGACATATTCTGGGTTGATATCATTACTGCTGATGATACCGGCACTGCAGTACCGGTTGATGGATGAGGGCATTGTGAATGAAATGTGCAGCAAGAGCAATTAGGAAGAATCGGATGACGACGATGACAAAACTTTGGAGCCAGTGCCCACGAGCGTGCTTGTAGCAACAGGCTACGCTTATAGCCTCAGGCAGCTCGTATATGCCAAAGGCCTCGGAAAAGAGCACATAGCCACTTTAAATAAACTGAAGACCTCTATTGCCAAAAAAGAAAAATTTGTTTTCGCTTGCAACCTGTGTTTCATTTACTATAAACTTCGGCATGCAGCGAACGGGTGCCACGTCGCGCTCAGGTTCATTATAAGTGTGCTCGGCTGTATAAGTGGATCACCAATAAAAGATGGGTTGGAAGTGCATGGCTTTAGTGCGGCATAAAAGCAACTGCTTGTCTTGATTTCAAACATGCACTCATATTGGAATAAAAAGCCTTGCCAAAACATACTATTTTGAGTACATTGTATTTTTTTTCTATTCGACTCATTCATGCTAAATTGTTCCAAAAGTCAAGTGAATTCATGATTCCAAATGATTTACTCTGATTTAACACAGGAAGTCAGAGTAAAGTAACTAAATAAGCGGATGTTTCACCACTTGTGCAGGTGGCAAAACATCTTCCTTATTTTGTTAGTACTTTTAAGTTGGACGAAATCTTGTCGAATCTAAACTCATAGTGTATGTCTACTGAGCTGCAGTGGGTGGTGTAAATTAGTAAGCTGCCACAGTTTAAGAAGCAATGGTACAGCATGCAGTTGTTTAATTTCGCAGATAAAATCTGTCTTTCATGGCCCTAGCCAAGAGTCAAGAAACTTGAAAAGCACTGACTGTGCTCTGAGCACAGTCATCACAAATAAGAAAAAAGAGAGACAGTGGAGAAGCACAACATTTTGACAAGCAGGTGTTGTCTGCAAGAGGAACCTGGTTGGATAAACAACCAAAAAATCTAGGGCATTTTGTTTAAAAGTAAACACTGTACGTTACCCAGAAGCAATATCTTGCCTGCACTGAAATGCTGCTATTCAAGTTTGTTATAGATTGTACAGATTCGGTGTACAAGCTTTTTTTTTTTTTTTTTTTTCCTTCCTTGGGTACCGAGATGTTTGTGGCCAAAATTTTTAGCACATTACAGTGATAACTCTGGTATCGTATGGCGTTGTGCTGAAATGTTCGCTGCTCACGTTCCAGGGGAACTGAAGACGTCGTTTCACCCCATGGTATCCCCTTGGACTTATTGGATCGGCTGTTGATTGTGAGGACAATGCCGTACACGAGAGAAGAAATGGTTCAGGTTAGATTAGTTTTTTTTTTTTACTTCCCTTTTTGACCGCGACTGTCGTGGCATCAAATTCTTTCGCTCAATGCTCTTTCTCACTTACAGATTCTCAGGATAAGGGCACAGACAGAAGGCATAGAGATTGACGAGGAGTCCCTGCAGGAACTGGGAGAAATCGGAACACGCACAACACTCAGGTACACGTCGCTTGACGTCATCATATCTGTGTTAGATGATGTGTGAAGGCAGAGAAGTGAAAAGGAATGTGTCAGTATCAAAACTTCGGTGTCGATGCACCGATGTCAGAAATAACCCATAATATGCTTAGTGCCATCTACTACCTTCTCCTCCTTAGCCTTACACAAATCGCTCGTGCACAAGATTTGATTCTTTTCACATAAAAAATAGAACATGACTGACTGCAGAATATATCTATTTATAATTTCACACTAATCATGATTTTTCACTTGAACTTGCACAAAGCAGCATCTAAACTCCTTTCTTGGATGGAATATGGGAATGTAATATCGGGGGGGGGGGGGGGGGGGGGGGGGGGGGGGGGTCGGAATTGTGCTCTGATAATCGGACGCATTTGAACACACACTCAGTCATATTTCATGCCTGAGGCCCACTGCACGGTAACTGTAAATAGGGACACATTGATCCAAGCATCCTACCTGTTTCCTGTCAACGATTCAACAATGGAAGCTCTCTGTGGCTATCTGCAGGATGTCGCCAGGAGATGGCCGTTTGTAGTTGCACTGCAGCTCTCTATTCAAAAAGGTGGTACTGGTACAACACTGTGCTCTCCTTGCGAATGTCGCAAGTTGAGCATGGCCTCAATGTTTACTCGAAGAGGTTCACAGCTCCATTTTTGTCTGTGGAATGCGATTTCGGCAGTTATAACTCAACCTGTAACAAATAAGTTGTGTTGTGTTTCTAAGCAGTTGTAGCATTGAAAGAAAACATGCTTTCGTCGGAAGGCTCAGCTGCCCTCGGCAAGTGACTCAAACTGCCCATTACTGAATTCTCAGAGTTCATTTTGAGTAATGGTGCGGTCTAGACCCTGCGTCGAGAAATGGCCCAAAGAGGCGTACTGTATAGAAGAAAACTGGATTTTGTATGGAGGCTTAAAATGCTGTAGGCCCATGTGCTCGGATTTGGCCGCACGTTTAAAAAACCCCAGGTAGTCAAAATTTCCGGAGCCTTCCATATGGTGGTTTTGGGACGTTAAACCCCACATATCTATCTATCTACTTGCATAGAACCTTTCTATAGAATTGTGCTCAAAACGTTTCAAACATTACACATTCGTAGCACCACTTGATACCAACATTGTGAAAAACTCTCATTATTGCAGATATGCAGCGCAGCTCCTGAGTCCGTCAAGCCTACTCGCCAAGGTAAATGGTCGGACATCCATCCGAAAAGACGACGTCAAGGAGGTCAACGACCTCTTCCACGATGCCAAGTCCTCCGCCAAGATTCTGGCAGAAAACAACGACAAATACATGAAGTGAAGAGCCCGTCACAGCGTTTGATGCTCTGCGAGCACCGTCAGCACTACCACCACCGTTTCTTGTGTTTAAAGCCATTAAAACCTGCATCACCTCCTCATCTGCTTGCAAATGTTTAGTCCCCAGAAATGCAGGTATCGTGGTGAGATGCATGCCTTCGCAGATGCCCATTTGGCATTTCAAGTTTAAATCCGTAAATACGCTTTGTGCTGTTCATAACTGTACAGCAAGTACTGTCAGCAATAACGAGTCGCTTTCTAAAACTCCTCAGATGTAGGAAACTCTTGCACTTTGTTTGTGAGCATTGAAAAGTATTAAAAAGAGCCCTTGAAACCATATAAATGTTTCCTTAGATAGTAGAAAGATGCTCACTTTATATAGTTCATAGCCGCTGTTTGTTTTCCATTGGACTGCAAATTTTACTCATAGCAGGTATTAGACATCTAATGACATAGTCGCTTAAAAACATGCTTAAACGTTCAATTTTTATGTTACTTTGTGGGAAAAAAAAAAAGGTGGTTGCAAAATAAATTGCGAAGTAAGATGAAAATTAAGATGAAGAGGTGCGAACACTTCGTTTCAGCACAAGTTAGTCTCTGGAGTCTAGATATCCATGCCACGTCTGTCTGTGGCTTAACTCGAACTTCCCTGCACTGAGAAATGACTTAATATCACCTAGCTAAAGCATAGCTACAACCTAGAAGCAACAAAATTACATTTCAGAATCGTCTGTTTTGTTGTTGAAAAGCTTGTGCGATTTAGTACAAGCTTTGCTCCCCCCCCCCCCCTTTTTTCGTCACATCGCAATAATATGAATAAACGGCCGAATGTAAAAATTCACATCTACTCAAGAACACGGGGGCAACCGCTGGTTTCTGGTATACAATTTCAATACCTATTCTTATTGCATGGTTCTCAGCTCCAGAGCAATGTTGTATTGAAATGCGTTTTGCAGTGATTCGATTGTGCTATGTCCCCTTATTATTGACTGTAGGCTATGCAAAACATTTTTTTTAGCTGCAGCAGCTGAAGCTTTCCTTTTGCAAGCCTGCTCTGACAGCCCAGTGTCAGTGGTCTGCAACAAAACACATGGTTGAAGGTTCGTATTCCAACCACATTGGCTTCATTCTAGGAGGGCCAGAATGATGAAAAATCGCAGCATATCCACAAACTGAATGATGATGAGTGGAGCTAAGCTTCCGTTCATGCGTTTGTCCATTCATCTAGCTGTCCGTTCTTGTTTCAGTCTGTCCGCCAGTTCACACCTGCTGAGTGAGTCATCGAACTAGGCAGTCACAAACCACGATGAGCTAGGAGGGACAAAGCCATGGCTCAAGGAGCTTCGCCCCTAAAAATTCACGCAAAATTGTTTTAGGGATTTGTCTTAAATTATGCATAAGCATATGTGTTTATCACACGAAAGTTCGTGGGCGCAGTTTCTCCTGGAATACTTTTTTTGAGCAGCATTGGTGTATGGAAGGCCCATCATTCTTCAGTGTCTGGAAGGCCCAATCAAAAGCATCCAATTTTTGCAGTCAGACTTCCGTAATATATGTACGTAGAAAGATCCACTGAGCTTTGCGTTTTCCTTCAAAGGGCTTTCGTTTCACCACGTTTCACCACGTAATAATTTAATGCAGCCTTCATATAAAATGTTCTTTAACATTTGCCTTTATTTGTATTGCTCCTACAACACATTGATTTGGTTGATATAAGACATTCTTGAGGCGCCAGTGTGTAGCCTAATTGGCAAGACACGCTTCTTGAAAAATGTGGGGCCCTCATTTTCAAATTTAGTTTTGCTAAGAATCTGCCTTTTCCATTAGCTTTTGTTACGCTCTGGCGTTTTGGTAGGGGCCAGGAGAACCGTTATTGCTAGAACGAAGGCCTCCAAGATCAGGAGTCATTTTGTGAGTGACTTTTCCGATAGGGAAAAGTGCATGAGTTGCGGCATCGTGGAAAAGGATGGATTGTTTTTGCTATGTAGTTCTTTTATACACAGAGACAGTTTTCTCGTAGCGTTTCCTAGGAAATGCTTAAGCTTTCTTAAAAGTTGTCATGATTAGCTGCCTGAGATTGAAACCAATCTGGAGCCTGTAATTACAGAATCTTGCAAAATCACATGCCTTATGCGCTTGGTTTGGAAAGTTATTCTTTAATTTTATTATTTTTATTATTTAAGTTCATTATTTGATTTCATTGAATGCAATGTATTTTAAGTCGTCCAGCTTTCTGGGTGCTGGGCCAAGTCTCATCTGTACAGTGCATGCACAAAGGAGCCCTGGAATATTTTTTAAGCATGGTCAGAAAACTCCGATCGGTAGGTTGAGGCAGTAGAGGCTCCTGAGGACATGTGAGCCAAATGTGCTGCACTTGACCTGGCACTTGCAATTAATTTTCCAAGTCTGCTAGAAATTGTTCCCTTTTCTTTCTACAAAAGAAGCCATATACCTAAATGATCACGCCATATCCCCTTGAGGCACAAATTATGATGCATTTTCTATGAAATTTGTCAAACTCGTGTACCATATTTGTGAGGCACTCATTATTACAACCCAAGAAAAAAAGAGAAACAGTGTTTTTTTTTTCTGGGAGTTTCGGTAATTGTAATTAGCATGTAATCAAAAGTCATTATTCAACAGTCCATTGTGCTCCATTTCGATATGAAAAAATGTAATCATAGGCTCCAAATGTACGCACAATTAGTTTTTTGTTTGCATTCGCAATGAGGAAAGAAAAGTGATGCTGTTCACGTTGTAGTGTCTTCGACAAAGTGGACGGCTACAGTCATACGCAGCACACTGAGTCAGGTCAAGACATAGACTACACTGAAGGTTAAATTTGTCCAATGACAATTGTATATTGCTCTCCTTTGGCCACAAGTTGAAACAGCTAGCATAAAAAATTGTACACTAGCATAGCCACCGAAGGGGATGTTGCACTGAAGAGGATATTCGGCAACTAGCCTTTATTGTTTTTTTGCTTACTTTCATTTTTGTCATTATTTATTCATTGCCATTTAGGAAGCAGTATGGAATATACTGAGGTAGCAGCGCGCAAACCTCATTATCAAGCTCTCGGGTGCCATCTATGTTTTTGAAATGTGCTCATCTGAAATGTCTGTTGACAAGCTACATTTACATTGAATTCCAATGACAGATCGCAAGCGTTCGGCTGAATCGTGTAGATCCGAGCGAGATTGCTATCGCAAAATCTGCGTTTGGGTCTCATACGCCTCGACCGGAGCAGTCTGTACACAGAAATCTTGCGAAGGGCATTGGAGGAGAGGGGCGAAGCATTGTTCTACTAGTCCATGGCTGCCCGTGACTTCAAACACCTAGTCATGAGGGGGTGAAAGGCGGGCGCATAGACTACGTCACGCAACTTCCAGTAAAATCTTCCGGTTTCGGCAAAGCACAAGAATGCTTGCTCCACGGAGCGATCCGAAATCTGTGGTTGCTCACAACATGCCATTGGAACACAGAATTTGGGCTCCCATTCTGCCACTGGAATATGATTGCTCCACTCGGAGCAGAAGAAGTGGATCTGGATCTGCCATTGGAATTCAACATTGGAAAGTGTGTTTCGTGAATCACTTTCAGGGATAAGAACCAGTCACTCGGAAGGATATGTCCCTCTTACACTACATTTCACCATGTTGAAATACCCCTTAAAGTTTATGGCAGGGAATACAGGCTTCAATTTATAGCTGCAGTGCTTTCCAATCTCAAAATTATTGTGGGAAGATTGTTCCTCCTCTGTTTATTTACATTGCATTTACAGGACAAGCATTGACCATTGATATTTTTCATTGGAGCAATAAATATAAAGTGGAAAACACAATCGAATAACTGTGCAGGTGCACATATGTTGCAAAGCCCATCTATGCCAGATTAGAGGACTTTTCATCAAGTTAGGTGATCGACTATGCGCTCACTCACGTACCGGTTTTTTGTGCTGCTGGTATGAACATATACAACCTTGTCTGTACCGTAACACATCTACAGTGATAGACTCCGATTAAATAAAAGGTCACGTGTGCTTTTAATGTTCTTCTCCTACGGCTAGGATTCAAACCCATTTTTTTTAATACCTTAGATGTGTTCTTACATCTTAGTCTGCTAATATATCAGTTTGCACTAGCCTACTATAAATTTGTAGTTATTAATTTGGGCAAATTGGTCGCCCAATATATTGAACGAGCCATTGAGAGGTTATTAATGCAACTACATGCAATAATTTTAGCAGCACAAGCTCCTTTAGATATCAAAGTACGTCTCTCGGAAGATAACCAGTGCGAAACCTCTGCAAAAGGTCATAACCCGGTCATCCAAAACGATCGCCGGGCAGTCTCGGGAATGATGGTGCCTAGTGCGTTGCTACAGTAGATGATGTCTGCAAAATATATTGTGTTCAAACTTAAAGGCAAATAAGTTGACACGCATTGTTAAAATGTTCCATAAATTGTTTGTTTTTTTGCCAAAAAAATGCTTAGGTTGAAACACAATCGCACCTTATACAATGGCTCATCAGCACAATTCAAACCGCCTGCCTACAAAAATGGTGTTGCATGTGCTATACCTGCGCCTTATTCACTTCACTACCAGACAGCCGGAGCTGTAGCACTGTAGAGCAAAACCATGGCAAACACGAAATTTGTGTCATTCTGGGTAATATCAAGTTCCTTCATGCGTAAATAAAACTGAAATGCACTAGTTGCTTCTTTTTCAGTTTTGTAACGTACTTTTCTATTGTGGGTGGCTCGGATACTTGTGATTGGATGGACTGAGACCCTGCTATGTCATCGGGACAGTGAGTCAGAACGTCCCACTCACTGCGCAAATAATGTCTTACATTTACCTTAATTTCTCGATTACAAAACACTACTGTGTATAACACTAGACGTTCCGAAGCACCGACCCCTCACTCCGAGACCACTTGTTATTTGCCTTGAGTGTCTGAACTTTATAATGTACCTTTTTCAGTGCACGAAGTTTCCAATACGCTCTTATAGATATAGTAATCACACGCACACAATAATTCACATAAGGATGTGTGGAATTCTTTGTTACAACTATTTACAAAATGGGAAGGGTGCAT